AAAAAAAAAAAAACTTGAATATACTAACTATATAAACTACTAAAAATAACTCGATAACCTAATATTTTAAACATATTAAACATATTTCAAACAAGTCAAATATAACCTATCTGGTCAATACAATAATAATAATCTTGTCTGTGACAACCATTTTATTATCCATGAGACCAAGGTATAACTTGTAAATCAACAATTAAAGGTAATCCATGAATAAACAAAAATAAATCTAAAAACAATTGGATATACCTACAGGAAATACCTAAATTCCCCTATTTTACCGCTTAGGGGTTGAATTTTATAAAAATCCTTTCTTACCGTGATACCTTCGTCATAATAGCTACCCGTATGCTAAATTTTAGCGCGATTTGGCCAGTAGTTTGGGCTAGAAAATGATAAATCAATCAGGACAAGTTATTTATGTAATAAACTAGCTGAATTATCCGACTTGGCCCGTGTGTAGATTTTGTTCTCTTTAAATGAAATTAATGAAATTCTTAAGTCCTATAGGAGGAAAAAAAATGATTTTACTTAATTTAATCAATTGCGAAATGATAGTAATATAGATGAATAACAAATAAAAAAAAAAAAACAATTTTAATAATATTTACAAATTATTCTAACGATTCTATACACATATTATTATTAGAAATTATTCTATGTTTATAAACTATAATTATAATTTGCGTAGTTTAACTTTATTTATGGATGTTTATAAATGATTCTATACCGAGTTACTCTAATCTAAAATGACTGAAGTAAAAACCTCTTGGTAAACCACATTCACAGTTTTATTTTGTGGTGTTTAAACGAATAAATGGTCAGGTCTTCCAACTCCAGAAAACGCTACATACACCTACAATATTGTTCACGCCATAATAAGTTAATGTCTGACCTTGCGTTTTATTTATTGCCATTTCAAAACGGACTTTTATCGGAAGCTAAACTCTTCTGTACTTAGATACCCTTTTTGGCTATCATTTAGCAAATTGTTTAAAACGTTCTTTCGGATATTATTTTTACGTTTAAAATACGATTTATCGACACAGTCCGAATACGACGGAATCGCGTGTTTTACTTAAAAAGGCGTGCTATTAAAACATTTTGTTTTGAGTAATTTTGTTGCTTTTACTTATCGCTGAGCTTTTTTTAAGTGTCTTATCAATAACTACATCATTATTCTGATGACATGGATTTATAGACGAGACACAATAGTCCAAGTGACACTTTATTTGTTCTTGTACAATCGGCGTCGTCCACCTAAAAACACGTCGTTTAATAGGCCCGCGATTATTGAAGTTGACCCATTATGACGTGTCGGTTGTATCCTAAAAATTCGAATGTTCGTTACAAAATGGCCATACCGAAGTAACAGTTAGTCCAGAAGACGCTCCCTCTACCCTAACCCCCCCCCCTTTCTGAGATTATATCCCCTGATAAATTTCAGTCGCTTGCACCCTGCATAAGTGTCGCTCGGGACCTTTTGCCTCGAAATCATCGATATTACATAAATACGCATACACCAGGTCAGCGGTCTTCAGCCTTTTTGGACTCGCGACCCACTTTTTTAGACCTACATTTTTCGCGACCCAAAACTTTTGTAAAAAAGCTAAAACTGCTTAATTCTTTGCAGTAGTACTATTAAAATTGAAGACGGCTAGTACACAGCGACAACATTGATAATATCGATAATATTCGTAGATTATGCCGATTATGGTACTGTAACGATAGCAATGCATATTAATTCTATTAATAACACAGTTTATTCGGTTTAATCATAAATTCTTATCTCAATATCTTACTACGTTGAATCATACCGGTGTGATATGAAATATTATACTTGATATCCATTATGATTATAATATTATATTATTATTATTTTTGTTTCACCTTNTCAGACAGCTAGTACACAGCAACAACATTGATAATATCGATAATATTCGTAGATTATGCCGATTATGGTACTCTAACGATAGCAATGCATATTAATTCTATTAATAACACAGTTTATTCAGTTTAATCATAAATTCTTATCTCAATATCTTACTACGTAGAATCATACCAGTGTAATATGAAATATTATACTTGATATCCATTATGATTATAATATTATATTATTATTATTTTTGTTTCACCTTATATAGTTTTATAAATTTAATTTACATTTTAAGAAAAGGACTTATCGCGACCCAATTTTAAAGCTTACGCGACCCAAAAATGGGTCGCGACCCACCGGTTGAAGACCACTGCACTAGGTGATCCGTTTAAGCGTGCACACTGATTATTTCGGAAAGTATTAACACGCCGCGGCTTGGTAATAACGCACCACTACTCTCGTCCGACCGAAACCCGAAAGCGGAATATCTCGGCCAGCGGCTCGACAGAAATCAAAAACGTCAACACTAAAATTTATTTTAACCAATACTCCATCTGCCTTGTGGACTTTTTAATGTAAGTTGCGATTTGAAAATCAAAAGTAGGTTTTGTCCCCCGAAAACACGAGAAATTACCTAAATGTGAAACCGTAGAACTACCCGTGTCTCGAGAATTTTCTAGAAAAAAAATCCCGGAAAAGTCAATGCTTCCCGAGATGTGACACCACGTACCCACTTGAACGTATCGCCCGGCATATCATGCGGGAAAATCGTTAATATATTTATACATATACGTGTACGGTATCATTACCAGTAGCGGCTCGTGAGTAAATATTTCGGGGAGACTTAAATCGTATAATATAAATTCCGTACAACGACGAACAAGAAAAACCTTTTTATTGGAAAAATTAATTATATTAATACATCATTTAATATTTAATTAATATTTTTAACAAAATTCAATACTAAATTCGTTAATAAACTGATTCAATTCTGCGATGTTTTTTTATCTGCAAACTCGGCAATAACACTGTCTACAAAAGTCGGATCCTTTGCCATATCGCCCAGTAGATTTTTTTTCAATCGCCAAGGACGATAAGCTCGAAAACCACCTCGTTGGTGGTCGTTGTGTTTCTAAGAAAAGTCTTAATACGTTTCAATGTGCTCGTGGACCGTTCACTAGAAACCGTTGTAGACGGAATAACAGTTAACGCTAACCGACAAAGTGCGTTAAGGCGTCGAAACCACTGGTCGGTGAAAATTCTATTATTTCGTCTTTTTGCGTGTTTAAAACAAGAACGATATGAATGCTTATAAAAATGTCAAGAAAATAATAAATATTAGACAGTGGTGACCGACAAACGTATAACAGTTATTGAATAACGAATAAACGTCGACTGAAACTAAAGCTAAAACCGATTGACGACGGCACGGCAACAACTGTTGTTGGACCCAACGGCGTCTACGATACAATACGCGGCTCGTTCTCCGCGGCCCCGTCCGTCCAACCGGCCGTGCCGTTACGCGTTACGACGGGACGCGTCGCGGGCTTCGGTTTCACTGGACCCGGCCGCCGCAGTCGTAGAAACGACGATTGTAACATATTTTCAATTCAAACGAAAACGTCCATACGTCTATACGTATATCGTTTTCGATTAATTGTGGTTGACGAGTAGCCGGTCGTTTTCCACGGGGAGACGCGGTCTCAAAAGTGTCCGCGGACGAGCCGCCCCCCCCCCCATCCCNCCGTGCCGTTACGCGTTACGACGGGACGCGTCGCGGGCTTCGGTTTCACTGGACCCGGCCGCCGCAGTCGTAGAAACGACGATTGTTATTGATATTTTCAATTCAAACGAAAACGTCCATACGTCTATACGTATATCGTTTTCGATTAATTGTGGTCGACGAGTAGCCGGTCGTTTTCCACGGGGAGACGCGGTCTCAAAAGCGTCCGCCGACGAGCCGCCGCCCCCCCCCTCCCCGTTGGTTACCGCCGCCGCTTGAAAACAGCACAGCACGCGCGGCGGAATCCGGGTCGGCGAAACGCCAAAACGAATTGATAACACGCCGGCAAACGGGCCGCGGGCACTCGGCGCGAAAACGCACCGCGGGCACTCGGCGCGATAACAGCGCGCGGGGCGACGCGCATCGTCGCGTGGTCGCGCGCACACGTTTCGACGCATGAAATACGAACAGGAGGCCCCTACCCCGCCCCGCCCGATATCCGGTGGCGCGACGATAACAACGCGCGTACCCCATTATCATAAGGCAGCTCCCACGACGAAATTGCACCATTTGTTCGTGTACATGCGTACGCACACGTAAACGACGGTGCCGTTTAATATTCAGGTGGGACGGTCCCCGTGGACGTTGTAAATTAAAAGACGTTTGTTTTTTTTTTTTTCTTTTTTTTTTTTTTTTTTTTTTCGATTTTTTTTTTTTTTTTTTTTCATTTTCATGTATACGGAACAAAACGCGTTTTATATTACATTATATTATTGTTGTAAGCGTTATTGTGGATTGTCCGTGTACGCGCGGGATAACGATTTCGCCCTTTGAATAATTCATCGGTTCGCGTATTATTATGCGCGCGCGTATATTTCAGACGCGTTTTTGTACCCGTACGCGCACACTGCCCGCGCGCGCAAACGCACATCGGCCGCGCGCGCGCGTACGACGCGCCGCACACGGGTACCCCGTACACA